ATGAGAGTTTCTGGGATAGTAATTATCTCGGAATCGCTCGAGAGATTCTGCAATTTTGCTCGATTTTAGCCCCTGCTCGACGTCTTTCCCTCAAAATGTTGAGAGTTTCTGGGATAAAAGTTATAAACCTCGCAAAGTTTACCAAATTATCCCAGAGTCTCTCATACATATACTACTGATATATGTATGACATTAATTCAGATAAGATTATTCAAATAGACCATTTTTTAGGAGTAGTTTGATTATAGATTCAGAGGAGGTAGGAAAAAAAAGACGTAATATACTTAATACTGAGACAACCCAAAATAACTCATTTTGTCCAGTATTCCAAAATGAGTTTGGAGAATTGTGCTGATAAGGAAAATAAGAATAATTTTATGTCTGTAAAAAATACCAACAAAGGCAGAGAGAATTCATGTATAAGTTTTCGGAATATTCAAAAACTTCGAGGAAATATGTTCAGTGAGCCAGTGAAAAATTATATAAAATCTCATACTATAAGTGACTTCACGGAATTCTAGATTGCTGATTTCATTAAAGAAGACAAGGTGTTTCTAGAATGTGAAAATATGAGGTTGTACAGTGGAGCTCACAGGACAAGTAGAATGGGCCGTCCAGCAGGTGGTCTATTATTGTTAATTAAGAGGAACTTTGGTAAACTTTTTAAACACTGTATAACAGAAAAATTTATTTTTGTGGTGATCGAGCTGGAACATAGAATTAATATATGTTGGGAAAAATTATATTTAGGAATTATATTTATCAATCTGTTTACTTCTTCTGAAAAGTTAATATTAAATGAAATCAAAAGAAACATCAATCAAAATTGTTAAAAATTAATAACAAAATTATCAAATTTTCTAAGAGTAATTTCCCATGGTGTTAAAATTAATTTCAAAATTCCATATGTTTTGTGGCGGTAAAGACTCAAAGGAGCTCTAGCACAGAATCTTGATCTATACCTTTTACCTAAATGTACTAACAAAAAAAGCTAAGTATGTAGTATTCCATATAGCCAAGATCAATACAATTTATAGACAATACAAATATGATCGCAAACTCAAGTTGATGTAATAATTTTAATAACTAAACAATAATATAAATTTAATTATATTGTACACATGTAAAGTAAAAATGCTTTCATTTGTAGCACAAATTGATCCTCTCTAAAGTGTATTTTCCAAGTTGTACTTTAAACTTATCAGTCCATGTGATAGAGATATTGGTTTAACTCGGGTTGATGAAGATGTATTTCTTAGCAATAGTAAGATTTGATTGTTACTAATATACATCCCTTGTAACAGGCCACGGCCTTAATACGAATAAAAACTTGATTGATTGATTGATAATTATGTTAAAGCCAAACAATTACAAATCTAATTAAGTAATCATTTAAATTAAATAATTTAAATTTAATAAAAGATGGCACCTAACGCTTACCTCTGGTGTAGTAATTAATAATTATTAGTTGTGGTAATGTATCCAATTTAATCAGGTAATTGTTTGATTTTTTAAAATTTATACTGTATAAAATGAAAATTATAGTTTTATTGTATTGCTAAGTCTTTCATTATAAAAGAAATATAATAACTGAACAAATAGCTGAGGAGTTGGCAAAGAAAAAAAAAATGAAAGTTTAAAAGAAAATTTTATATTTGAAAAAGCAAATAACAAATTTTCCAGGTTATAGAAAAGGAAGTTGATTAACAAATTATTAAATTACAGTGTAAGAAATTACTTACCCTCTTTCACCTTTCCTTATTCTACTCTGCACATCCCTTAAACCATTTCGTAAATATGTCTTATACTTTGTAGCTAAACAAATAAACAAACAATGAACATAGTTATGAAAGAATTAACTAAAATTATAAGAATTAAACATGAGAGAGTACATAGAAAGTATAAGGAGAAAAAAAATAATAAAAAAAAAAGAAAAAAATATATATATATCAGGAAGTAAAAATACACTGAGTGTGGTGTTATTACCAGCTTTTTATACTACTAGCACTTTCAAAAATTGTACGATCATTGTCTTCAGGCAAACGAAGATTTAAAACAAATACAAATGTTCTAACGTGAGATGGAAATTACATAATTTATGGATCATAAATATATATATATATATATTTTTTTCATTATGATCCATAAATTACATCTCAACATTTACAATTTAACTGACTCCTCAGAAACCATCTTAAGCTAACTCATATTTATTATAGACTGTGCAAAAATTATGGTTGCATTCCTATTTGAACTATATATAGTGAAACCCCAGTTAACGAACGTCCTGGTTAACGACCAAATCAGTTAACGAACTTTTATTTTAGAAAATTTTTGTCTCGGATAACGAACTTAATGGCTTTTTGTGTCAAATTTGTAAGCTTGCCAACTTTCAGGGAAAAATCAGTTAATCGTGTGTTGGTGATGGTTTAGGGTCCATTTGTACGTTGGTGTGGTTGAGGAGACAAAGATGACAAGTATTTTACAGTGAAAATCGTTTATTAGAACGGGAAGATGCTTACATATTTGAGGTAGTTGGAAATGGCTTATCTACAGTATTTTCTCTCGGCACTGAGGAGTGGCGTATTGCTGGTCCTACGATAGTGCAAGCTGATCAGTCGTAGCCCCAGAGCGGACGAGATAGGTTCGCTTGGTCACAGAAGCGATGGTAGGTGACAGAGCTGCAACAACTGGAGCGGTCCGCGATACACAACACAAATTTTAGCAGGTATGACTTCAGGCTTAATCCAGATGAAGACGACACAGATTAATCGCCATAAAATTTTTAGGAAAACTGCGTTTTGACCTTGAGATTTGGGGTTTTTATAGTATTTCTTCCTTGAATTTCACCTTACGATTAGTCCTGCATCCTATTCCTCAGTTCCCGATTGTTTTCTTCTTTGTCTCCAGGTGAAAATCGAAACCAGATCAGGTCACGAGAAAGGTTTGTTCCGAGGCATTTATTTGACACCTGTTCGTCAACTCTGATCAGAGATTGTTGATAAACCTATAAGCCTTTCGCTCATAATTTAGCCTATTGTTTCTGCTATCTGTCATTTTATAACTTTAACGACCGTATGTGATGTTTTTATACCCGTCAAATCTTTTCCCTTTTCCAAAAATTTAACCTAGATCGATTGTTTATGAGCATGTTTTTCTATATTTTCATTAAAGAAAACCCATTTTACAAATAAAATTACAAAAATGCTGACATCTAGAACGGATTAATTGTATTTACACTAATTTCTATGGGAAAAATTGTTTCGGTTAACGAATGGACTCGTGGAACGAATTACGTTCATTAATCGGGGTTCCACTGTATTATTATCCAAACTTGTAAATTAGCAAATAGAAGTATAAAATAAGATATTTTATATAATTATAATAGAAAACTAGCTGTTATCCGCGACTTCGCCCGCGAAAATTTTGCAAGCAAACCCCATTTATATTCAGTATTTCAACAACCATAGTAATTGTTATATAACACCTACTGCTGAGAATCAAACAAACTATTTTCAATTTGATCAATTTTCTGGAACGTTTACAATCGTTCTATAATCGAACCAATATGCAATAACAAATTCGAATTTAAAACGGTTCGAACATTTTTAAAATC